AATTTTAAAATTGTTTTGGAAAAATGGTACAAGATAATTTTGTGAAGATAAGGAAGAGAAGTATTAATGTCAAAGATAAAGGTAATTTAAAAATTAAAATTAAAATAGATAGTGTAAATTTAAAACATGGGGCATAAAAAATAAGCTTTTACACAAGAAAATCATTCAAACTTTATTCAACAACTATCTTTCAAAGTTGGATCGTGGAACCCATATTCTAAAATGCAAATAGAAGTGTATGAATTTATTTTGACTTCCTCTCCTAGCTTTTGCGATTTGGTAAAAAGTCCTTAAGAGATGGGTTCTAATTGGTAGTTTTGATTTGTGCATGAAGAATGTGTTCAATGCTATGAGGTCTGGATATCAAAAGATTACTAACTGTTTCTTCTTTAGTGTGCATGGAAATCTGCTTTTACTTCAATTTTTTTTATTTCTTGGTTTATATATTTTGAATAGGTTCATGGTCTGCATCTGATTTTTCTTTACTTTTTCCCTATATTCTGTTTGACCCAATTTAGGCTGTCGTATCAAAATTCAAGGCATTGTTTTTATGTGCTTCTTGTTCATAATAAAGTGTTATTTTTAACATTATTCTAATTATATATATATATATATATATATATATATTTTAAAATACTAATGTAGCGGCCAGGTAAATTATGATGCATGATAAATAAGGGCGTGAACTATTAGAACTCTCTTTGTTAAATGCAAAACTAAACTCATTTATTTAATTAATAAATAAGTATAAATTTAAAGTTAAAATTAATTATTTAAATAAGTTAAATTTAAGCTCTGTAAACTTTGACATTAATATTTATAAGTAGATACTTAAATTTAAATTTTTATTATTATCATTGTGTGTATTATTAATCTAATTTTAATTTTTAAGAGTTGTATTTTAAATAAATGACTATAATTTTTTAAAACATATGCTTTTTTATAATAAAAAATATTTTTAACCTTAAGTCACTTTCTTGTAAATAAACTTACAATTTTTATCATTTTATTTTACTTTTTAGCAAAAAAATTATTAAATATGATATCAATAAAAAATATTCAAAACATTAAAAAAATCATAAACAAGTGAATGATTAAAGTGCAAGCTTCAAAATTATTAACTAAACTTAAGTTTTAAATTTGACTAATTTAAATAAATGAGTGAAACTTACACATTATTTTCTTTTACATATCAAATTAAACTTTAAATACTTAACTTGACTCAACTATGTGATACAAATAAATTATGAATAAAACCTATAACTTATAAAAATGTCTTTGGTATGCCTGTTTTTATTAATCAAAGGTTGTTTTAGTAAGGGAATTTATTTTCAAAGTCAGTAAATAAAAGTATATTAATTTATTTTTTTACTCAATATATTGTACAAAATACTTTAGCTGATTTAAAATATAAATTAAATATACTTTTGGAGAAATTTTTTCTTATTATTATTAACACGGACTTATGGGCTTTGATTCGGGCCACTCTAGTCTTTGCACGAGAACATAATGGTTCAATTTTTTGTTTTAAAAACAATACATTTCACGACAAAAAAAAAAATACATTTTTTATGGTTGAAAATATTGTATTACTTTTTTTTATATATAAATTTAGCATATGTATATTAAATTTATAAATTTCAATGTATCTAAAAAATATTATTAAATGATAAAGTAAAATATTATTAAGTTTAATACTATATATATATATATATATATATATATATTTAAATATTTATGATTTATTATTATTATCTATATTTAAAAAATATATTTAAAAGCAAGATAACATAAAACATGTAAAATGATAAATATAATAATATTATCTTTCTAAATTTCTAATTTAATTTATTATTTATGTAAATTATTATGAATTTTGTTGAATTCAAATCTATACATTAAATATTTTTTATGTAGTTATTTTTATTCATAAAAATATTTGAAATTAAAAATTAGTTGCACAGCAGTATACTTTAAAATTTATTTAGAAGTTTGTTATGTATTAACAGTTTAGTCTTTGTATTTTTATTCTTTTTAATATATATATATATATATATATATATATATATATATATATAAAACACAAATTGACTGAACTGTAATTTTGATATAGCAATATTTTAACATAAATATTTTAAAGTTATTATCACAATGATTCTGTTGTTTATGTACTTTTTTTGTTTTATAATTTTTTGTTGTACAAAAAATGTACATATATTTTTTCTAATCTGATAACCAATTAGTCAAAATTAAATAAACTGTATTGCTAGTAAAATGGGCAATTTTATTCGAAGAATTGTATTTATATAATTATTTGTACAACAAAAAAATATAGTAAAATAATTAATATTATAAAAAAGTATAAAAATGTTCGATGATGAATATTACGACTCATTTTATTTTATTTGATCAAAACCTTGAATAACATGCCCCATTAAATTTGCATCCCACTTCACACTAAATAAAATATTCTTTTTCCTTTGTACCTTCCAATGTGGGATTGTTAGGCCTCAAATTCTTGCAAAGTCAAATTGCTAGAAATTTTGGCTTTTGTAAGCAAGCACATCTCGCAGATAATCTGATTCCAATGGCTAGGCACTTTAAGAGTGATGGGACAACCAAGCAGAAGCAGAAAGTTTCACATCAATGGTTCAACAAATCTTTGTACTGTGTTTGATCTTACTGATTTAGTTTCCTTGAAAGGAAGATGGTCCAAATCATGGGCATCCAGAATAGTGACGTTGCTGGCTATACACCTGCAAGTCGTGCCTCCACCACACTTATCATTCCAAAGCTTTTTATAAATAATAGTAAGGTTTTGGCAGCCAAATGGCCATCACATTTTGTTTGATACAAATAAATGAAAAGGGTGTAAAATATGGGTCCACAGCTGAAGACAAGGAGTTAAAGGGGGAAGGGTCCCCTCATTGCTTTGGTTTATATATGCTTTACATTTAATAGTTATGCATTATATATAGTTGTAAAAGTAATGGTTAACAAGCACATTTGGGTGCAGGGGCCACAGAGAAAGAAAGAGATAGTGTTTGTGCGAACTGAAGAGAAAGTGCAGTCCTTTCAGGCCAAAGTATAAAGGTACCACAACTAGTTTAGCTGCTTCTTGGTTAGATTTATTTTGCTGCTTCTTGGTTAGATTCATTTTGCTGCTGCATTTCCCTCTCATGGTTACTACTACATTCACTAAAATCCTTGCTTCTCATCTATCTTCAATCTGCATGTTAGAAAGCAAAATGGTTGTCTAACATCTCATAAGTCTCTCATTTTTTGTTGAAAGAAAAAGAGATGAAACTAAATGAATTAGACCCTTTATGCATGTACTTGATCAATCAATAAGAAATAAGACAATTCTTTCTGGTGCAGTTTCATGTTTCATTTTTCTTTATTTTCTGTGATTTGTTCTTTGTTGTATCCTTGTGATCTCTTAAAAAATATTCTGGGTTGGCCTCCACGTGGAAGAGAAACTTGGGAAAAGTCTAAGGAGGAGGTACACTTGTCTCATTCTTCATTCGACACATCATTTCTTTTATACATTCAACAAACTTCTCAGTTTCCAATGTTTAGCATTAAGTCTTTGACTATGGACCCAGAGTTTCTTGGTTTGCGCTTTGAACATTTATATTTACTGTTCTTCTTGGTCACTGGTAGTACCACCCTAATTCATGATAGAATAATGTCAATACACACATTGAAATGTTCTAATGTGCAGCAGCAGGGAAGCCATGGAAGGTGGTAGCTCAAATAGTACAGCTAAAGGTATTCATTTCTTTTGAATTTTCATTTTCTAAGTTTCTTGCATTTATTCTATTTTCTATGTATACACAAATGATCTAAGATCTTTCGCATGATATCACTAAGAAGCATAACGAGGAAAACTTAAAAAGTTAAACACCTAACAAAATTTTATCACCTTTTGCAGTGAAGGGTTTCTTGTGGTGACATGTGTATGGTTTTGTCATTGTCCTGCAGCATATTTAAGATATATTATCTTGGGTGACAAAAAAAATGCAAGAATTGTGATTAGCCAAATACCATCTCTCTATTGAAAAATGTGTCATTTTATTGGAAATTTAATTAGGAGTGAAATCGTCAGAGTTGGAAGCTTTACAGAAAGAGCATGAAGAGAAGAACTTGAAAATTCAAGAGCTCAAGCGACAGATTGAACTGACTAAGCACCGCTTGGAAAAGAGAAAGATCACACAGGAGCAAATGGGAGACTTCAATACTTTGAGCAAGAAATATAACAGTCTGAGAGAGGAATACAATGCAATGCTAGCTGAAAAATTAAGGGAATCAAAGTAACTTTACCTCTCAAATTAGTAAGCCTGAACATTTTTTGTTTCAAACTAGGCTATACCTAATTAAAGCTATGACTATATCTTATTGAAGTTAACTTTATTTCTCAATGTTGCTTCCATTTTCTGTTCAAAAAATGAGATCACCATGGAGATGGATTGTATATGATGTGGCAGTGTAAAAATGAGACTAATAGATTATCATATTATTTAAATTTGCAATCAAAGTAGAGCCCGGTTTATAATGGCGATTATAATAAGCTGCAAACTTTAAAAGTTTTACCAATCAACTAGCGCCTAAAACATGCAATGAAATATGGGACAATTAACTTGATACATAATTACTTCCACAATTTCCTAAGTGTATTTATTGTCACACCCATATTTATTACTATCTTTTAAAAGTGATTTTTGTCTAAAATACCCTCTCTCTTTTCTCTCTTATAACTATATTAGTAAATATATTTTACATAAAAAATTCAAATTGGAGTAACAATAAACATATCGGTGTAGAATAGGGACTAACCAGTTCCCTACTTAAATCTGCAATTTTAGTATTTGAATGTCTAAAAATTAACACTATATGCAATATCATATATAATTTTTTTTCGGTATGCATCTATCTCAATTGTAGCCTCCTAAATCAAAAGGGACACCTTTAGGCCGCCATGGGGGATCATCAATCAAGAATCAAGATATCAACCTTACTATAAGTAAAACAACAAGAAGGATAAAAAAAGAGAGAAAGAATATTCCCTCGCCTGTTACACGTGGAGAGAAACCTTCATCTCTATGTGGGCTGTTTGTAAATTGAATTCGGTACTTGGGCTGTTTATTGGGTGTGAACAAACCGAAATTCCTTTTTGTTTCAGCAATCCCTTTTTGGTCTTCATCAAACATGGCAAATAAATAAGTCTCTACAGCATGATTAGGCCTCTTTGGAGTACCACCCACCACATGATTAATCAAATTCTTATAATAGACTTGTGCATTGTCCTCTGATGCGCCAATACCACCACTAGATGGCCATCCACTCTCTGATACCACTATCTCCAAATCAGAAGCACCAACCTTCTCCAAACCTGCATAAAGGGCTCCTAATGATGCATCAAAGAGATTCTTATACTCATAACCACCATCTTTTACAACAACTGTTGGTGAGGTGAATAAGGCATAGGAAAGGCTAATATTTTTGGGGTCACCTATGTAGCTGAAATAAGTGTACACGTTAACAAGAAGTGGTGCTCCATTCTTCACTAGAAAATTAACAATTGACTTCATATATGCACATGAAGAAGGAGTAAATGCTCCTACAGATGGAGGATAAGAACTTCCCAACAATGACAGCTCTATAGCTGTTGAAACCTTAATTTGACTTTGTAAGTTGGCAGATACAAGTGCAGCATAAATATTCTGCATTGCGGGCAGAACAAACTGTGCTGTTGTTTCATCAGGTTTTATTTCATTCCCAACAACAATGTACCTAAATTTGACATCTCGAGAGTGGTTTTGTATATTGTTTTGGACCCAATCAGTGGCTATTGCTTCAACACTAAGAGAATGAATTTGTTCATTAGGGACCCCAACAAGAAGTTCTATGTTGGACCCTCTTAAGGCTTGAATGGTTAATGGATCAGGCTCATATATTCTCATTCTTCCAATGCCATTTTCTTTGCAAATATCTATTACTTCTTGGGCTGGTGGTAAGTTTTTCGCTACTCGTCCGTAACACACTCCTACAGTTTGTGCTGCTGCTGTAAATCGAAGTAAATGAATTCAAAGATTGAAGGAAAAAAAAAAAGGAGTTTTACTAACCAGTTCTCTAAGAGTAATACTCTATTTAAGAAATCAATCTTAAATTTTTATTAAAAAAAATGTTAGAATGTATAAAAATATATGAAAGTGAGTGTATTTGTAAGTTTTTAATCATTTTTTTTATTCTTTAATTACTGTACTAAGGGAACTTGTTACCATTTTTTAAAATATAATACAAACTGGGTAGAAATGAAGGTCAAATGTGAAGTTTATTTACCTGTTGTCTTCAAGCCACTTAGAACAAGAAGCAGTAGTGCAAAAATCATATCAGATTGTTATGTAAATTAACAAAATGACAAGTTTCCAATGAGAGATACCCCTCTTCCGTTACATATATTCATTGTTCAAGCTACCCTGTGAACGGACTCTTGCATGGACGTTACAAATATTGGTGAAATCTTTAATCAATATGGTCTCGATATTGCAAAAGATTTTAAAGAGTAATTGCAAAGAAATTGAAAACGGGAAATCTCACTCGCACATATATAAGGTTCCTTCTTTCAAATTTGTTGCAATTAATGTTCAAAAAATCACGTGCATAGAATAGAAGGAAACACAATATATACACACCAGTATGTTGTAGTATTTACAGAGGGCATTCATACACACACATCTGATTTTCTGTTTTCAATTTAATATTAAGCTTCAATATCATTCGTGTGTAGACATCACACTTCTGTTAGAATATATGCTCAACCCTAAGAAAAAAACAATACCCATTCGCTCAGATTTAGAATTGACTAGTATCTTTATCTTTACACATGTATATATACAAGTAATTCAGTTTTAGATCGGTTGCTTTGGAATATTTCAGTAGTAATTGTGAATTAGTTTAATTTTATGGATTGTTTTAGTATTTTTATTTAAAAATAATTATTATATCGAGTTTTTCATTCACCGATTGATAGAATTAATTTAATATTTTTCAACTTCCCATGAAAAAATTCCTAATCATCTTTATCATTATTATTAATAACCATTTTTTACATAAAAGTGACCTTTCTTTAATTTAAAAATTAAAAGAATAAAAACAGTTAAATTTAAGATTGAACTTGGTTGTTCAAAGAAAAAACTAGTAATATTTTAAATTTTAATTTTTTTATTAATTTATTTTTCATTAATTAGTTCAAACTTTTTATATATGTAAATTTTTTTTAAGATAAAATCTATTGTACCTCTTATAATTGAGAGGATTTGATATTCTCTCTTAAACGTGAAATAATTATTATTGTTAATTATATATAATGTTAATATCTTCTTATCTTTAAGATATTAGAAAAATTATAAATGTTAATTTAAAAAGGTATAAAATAATTTCTTCTAATAATAGATAGTGAAGTTAGTGATTTAGATTAAAAAAAATATTAAAACTTTCTTATTTTTAAGATATTAGAAAAATCACAATTGTTAATCTAAAAAAGTATAGAATTATCATCTCAAGTTTATTAGTATATAAAAAAGTATAGAATACCCTCTCAAGTTTACTTGTATCGTAACAAGCACTTTATTTAAGTATTTATATATATTATACTCACCATTTGATAGTCTTTTTTGTTAGAATTTTTTTAATCCATTATGTAATTTTTATTATGCAATGACTATTATGAAATTACTATTTTCTATTAGATCTTGAATTACATTGTTCTCACAACACAATACATAGTTCTCATATAATTAAGGGTTTAGAGGGTACTAACTTGAATCCATTGTTTCTTGATGTTACCTCTCTGTTTGATGTCGTCGATCTTTTTGTATCTTTCCTAACTCTTTCTTCCTCTTTTTTCTCCTCTTGGATGGTTGAGAGAAAGTTTCTTTATTGCATTTACTGTGAGCACACTTAGAGATCGTAAAAGTGATAGAAAATAGAGAATGTCGTAACCTTTATTTGGTAACCGCTCTTTTATTTATCTGAAGGAAGCAAGGGAATGTTTCCTTATAATTGTATTTACAATTATACCCTCTATGATTCTATATTTTATATTTAACTACCATCACATTAAATCATTAATTAGAGTCATGCTATAAGTTACATAAGCCATAATAATAAGATTATTAAAATAATCTAACAATCTCCCACGTGGCCTATGTGACGGCTTGAAGATTCAATGAATTGTAAGTGTGCATATCATTGATAATATCAACTCATCATCTTTTAATGATTTCAGTTGATTGGATCATGACGGTCACAAGTTATTTAACGACATGATTTTTTCCATGTATCACAAAATTAACTCAAATCAAAATAGCTTTAATCAGTCATACTACAGACTGTAATTCTAATGTGTTTTTAACACTCAACCTGTTATCAAACTCAAATCATACTATACATTAACACAATTTAGATAACAAGTAAACAAGCAAAAACAATACTTCTATTGAATTTCCAAAAATGTCTACAATAATATGAGCAAAACAATCTATACACATATATGTGAATCACACAATCATGCTAACAAGGACTTGTCTATAATGCTTATTCTACCAACATGGCTAGAAAATGTTTTAGGGGGCAATTCCTTAGTTAGCAGATCCGCTATCATTAAATCAGTACCAATATGCTCAATAGACACTTTTTGTTTCTGCACTTCTTCTTTCACTGATAACTATTTTAAGTCTATATGTTTTGGTCCCTTTGAATACTTATCATTCTTAGAGAAGAAGACAACTGCTGAATTATCACAATACATTCTTAGTGGCTTTTCTATACTATCAATAACACCAAGCCCTAAGACAAAGTTCTGCAGCCACAAAGCATGAATAGTGGCCTCAAAGCATGCCACAAATTCCGCTTCCATGGTAAACGTAGCAATAATGGACTCCTTTCTGCTCTTCCATGAAATTGTACCTCCAGCCAACAAGAAGATGTAGCCAAAGGTCGATTTCCTTGAGTCTACAAATCCAACATAGTCTGAATCCGAGTAGCCAACCACTTCCAGGTGACTAGATCTCCTATAAGTAAGCATGTAATCCTTGGTGCCTTATAAATACCTAAGAACTTTCTTTGCAGCCTTCTAGTGATCCAGTGTAGGATTACTTTGATATCGGCCTAACATTCCAACAGCAAAATTGATATCAGGCCAAGTGCATGTCTGAGCATACATTAAATTCCTGACCACTGATGCATAGGGAATAGATTTCATTGCTTTCCGCTCCAACTCATTCTTGGGATACTGTATTTCACTAAACTTGTCTCCCTTTTAAATTAGAACCACCCTTGATGAACACTTTTCCATTTTGAATCTCTCTAATACTTTGTTGATGTAGCCTTTCTGAGACAATCCCAGTAATCCTTGTGATCTATTATGGAATATTTCTATTCCAATCACATAGGAGGCTTCATCATATCTTTCATCTCAAAGTTTTTAGAGAAAAACTCCTTTATATCATGCAAGAACCCAACATCATTAGTAGTAAGAAGAATGTCATCAACATATAAGACTAAAATGATAAACTTGCTCCCGCTGACCTTCATATAGATACACTGGTTAATGGTATTCTCTACAAAATCATATGAAGTGATGATATCATTGAACTTAAGATACCATTGTTTGGAAGCCTATTTCAACTCATACATTGATTTCTTTAACTTACACACTAGACTTTCTTTACCTGCAGTCAAGAAGCCATCTGACTGATTCATATAAACTTTCTCTTCCAAGTCATCATTCAGAAAGCTCTAAGTCATAATGAGCCACTAAAGCCATAACAATTCTTAAAGAGTCATTCTTTAAAACCAGAGAGAATGTCTCTTTATAGTCTATGTCATCCTTTTGAGTGTATCCTTTAGCAACAAGTCTAGCCCTGTATCTCTCAACATTGTCTTTTGAGTCACGTTTGGTCTTAAAGACCCACATGCAACTGACTCGTTTTGAACCTTCAAGCAACTCGACTAGATCCCATACCTTGTTGTCACTCATTAATTTTAACTCTTCTTTTATGGCATTCAACCACTTTTCAGAATTGTAACATTCCATGACTTGCTTAAATGAGACTGGATCCTCATCAATACTCAAGTCACATTCATACTTAAGTGAGTAAACCATATATTTATTTAAAATAGCAGGTCTTTTATACCTTACACACCTTCTTAACATTAACTCTTGTGGTTCACCTTCCTCTTGCTCGCTTGTGGCTTGTGCATTGTCAGTTGGTTCATCCTCTATATGTTGTTCTTGTGGATTTGAAACATTAATTTGTTGTCTTTTTATATAGTGTGACCGTGATACAACAAGGAGAACAACAACTTGAGAAGAGATACCAACTACAGGAGTTTCTACATGTGTCTCTATAATTTTCACCTTTCGTGTTTCGCCACTCCCATTAAACTAACCATTTTCAATGAACCTTGCATTTGCATTTCCAGACTCAACTATTCTCATACTATGGTTAGGACAGTAGAATCTGTAGCCTTTTGATTTCTTAGGATAGCCGATGAAATAACCACTAATAGTTCTAGCATCAAGCTTCTTTTCATGTGGATTATACACTCTTACTTCTGCTGGACAACCCTAGACATGAAGATATCTTAAACTGGGTTTTTTTCCTGTTCACAGTTCATAAGGAGTTTTTAGAACTGTCTTACTAGGAGCTCTGTTAAGCAGATATGCAGCGGTCTTTAATACGTACATCCACAAAGACATAGGTACAAAACTGTAACTCAACATACTCCTAACCATTTCCATGATAGTACGATTTCACCTTTTAGCCACACTATTTTGTTGTGGCGTACCAGGCATAGTATACTGTGCACATATGCCTCGACTTTCTAAAAGTTTTGCAAATGGACCTGAACATTATCTACTTTCATCAGATTTCCTATAATATTCACCACCTCTATTTGACCTCACAACCTTTACCTTTCTATCTAGTTGTCTTTCCACCTCATCAATGAACACCTGTATGACATCCACTGATTGAGATTTTTCATGTAACACATACAAATAACAATAACGTGAGTAGTTATCAACAAAGGTAATAAAATATCTTTCACCACCCCAAGATGAGATGTCAAACGGACCATAAATATCAGTGTGTATCAACTCTAAGAGTTGACTGCTTCTTGTGACTGGATTCTTTTATGTGTGTTTGGTTTGTTTTCCTTTAATATAATCCATACATACATCTCAGTCAACAAAATCCAACTGAGATAAAATTTTACTTTTCAATAACCTCATCATCCTTTCTTTGGATATGTGACCTAACCTTTGATGCCATAAGAAAGCAATGCATTCATTACGCATATTCAAATTACTACTACCATCATTCTCAACATGAAACAGAGATTCAATAAATTTAACATTAAGATTGAAACGATATAAACCATCAATTAATATACTAGATCCAAAATAGTACGAGTATTTATACAAAGAAAATGTACCATTTTCAATCTTAAAATTAGAATCAAATTCGTCCAACTTTGCAACATAAACAAAATTTCTAACACATTCAGGAACATGAAGACACTTTTCTATATCTATGCAACAACCAGTATACAAGATCAATATGTAAGTCCATATTCCTTCTATCTGTGCCTTCATTCTGTTTCCTATGTACAAGAACTTTTCAGTTCTGCTTATGGGCTGGATCGAAAGAAATCCCTGCATTACATGTGACACATGAGTAGTTGCACCAAAATCTAACCACCAGGTGTTTTTAGGTACCTCAATAAGATTTGATTCAAAGCATACTAAAACATAATATATAGCTTTCTTTTCGAACCAAACCTTTTTCCTTCGGACAATCTTTCTTGAAGTGACCAGCCTTCTTGCATAAGAAGCATCTTTGGCCTTTCTGGATTTGGCCTTCATGAACCTTTAGTAAGGCATTATCCTTTTTGTCCTTTTTACTTAGCTTAGCCTTGCTACTACTAGCCCCTTCATGAAATGTGAGATGGATGAAGTGTTCTTTCACCTTCTTCAGCCTCCCTTCCTCCTGAACCAGCATGACCTTAATCTCCTGTATGTTCCATTTATCTTTAATGGTGTTGTAATTCACCTGGAACTGACCAAACTCAGGAGGGAGTGAGTTTAAAATGAACTGTACTAGAAAGAATTCATTTACCTCCATGCCTATTGATTTCAACTTTGTCGCTTGATTGATCATGTCAGTCACATGGTCATGAATGGACCGTGACCAATCAAACTTCTTAGTAGTCAGCTCAGTCAACAGGGTACCTGAAACGGACTTGTTAGTAATGTTCGATTGTGTATACTCTTTTACCTTTGCCATAAATTCCCTAGCATTTCTAGTCTTTAGCATCGATGGCTTCACATTTTCAGTCATAATCATTTTCAGCAAGCTCAAGCTCAGTCTGTTCAACCTTTCCCAAGTTTCATGAAGAGTCTTTCCCTCTTCAGTACTAGTCTCTGTGATGGCTGCAGACTCTTGTTCCATAATGATTGCTAGGTCTAAGTTCATAACATCTAGCTAGAATCGAACTTGTTTAGCCCAATCATCATAATTGAGCCCATTGAACTTGACTACGCCATTACTCATGCCATACGTATTCATAAGGACTGAAATATTTAATACATGCTTAAACATTTATGCTTTGAATAAACTTAATAGATTCTGACAGCCAACCATTATCAATTATACATCTAAGTTTACCTTTGGGTAACACCTAAATACACAATTTATCTATAATGATGCTAAAAAATAACTTTAATCGACAACTAGTCACTCAAACTAATATGCAAGTCATCTTTGGATATACAAACATATTGTGAAGTGTTTACACATCTCCTTAATCTCATTAATCATATGCAACAATCCACCTTTGGGCGATCTCCTACCGTTATAATTAATGAGCTAAATTGTTCACCCTTTATGTTACCATATAGCATCAAACAATTTTGAACAATTTACAACACACAATTAAATGCTTAAAGAACTTTTAAAGCCAGACTCCTTTGGTGACTAACAAGCTACCTTTAAAATTAAGCACTAAATTCTGAAGTTCTTATTATGATAATGTAATTTAGAATTAATTAAGTTGAGAATTTAATCACTTTGGTGAGTAAAATCTATATATTTTATGAATTATATTCCTTATTCTACCGTAAAATTACTATGCACGATCGTGCTTTTACTTGATGCATGGCCGTGTTTCGATATGATCGTGCTTTTACTTGATGCATGGCCGTGTTTCGATGAAGCAAGGTCATGCTCATTTCTGATGCATGCCCTTGTTCCTGAAGCGTGGTCGTGCTTCTTGATGCATGGTCGTGCTTACAATATGCAAAGTCATGCTTCCATTAAGCAAGGTCATGCTTCGTTGAAGCATGACTGTGCTTGTTCCTGATGCGTGGCCCTGCTCCTTGATGCGTGGCCCTGCTCACTGATATATGACCATGCTCATGTTACAGATTCAAAATCTAATTTTTCTAGCTTCCAAAACCTTAGGGTTTTTAATTATTGAATCTAAAATAATTATTTAACATTAAAATTATGTTAATCCATCATATAAAATATCTAGGGTTCATGTAAGTTGGAAAAAACTTTAATAGAGAACCAATCTCTTATGGAGAATCAACGAAATTCACAACCTTGCTCTGATACTAACTATTAGAATTTTCTTAATCCATTATGTAATTTTCATTATGCAATGACTATTATGAAATACCATTTTCCATTAGATCTTGAATTACATTGTTCTCACAACACAATACATGGTTCTCATATAATTAAAGGTTTAGAGAGCACTAACCTGAATCCATTGTTCCTTGATGTTACCTCTCTGTTTGATATCGTTGATCCCTTTGTATCTTCCTCGACTCTTCCTTCCTCTTTTAGCTCCTCTCAGATGGTTAAAAGAAAGTTCATTTATTATGTTTACTGTGAGCACACTTAGAGACCATGAAAGTGATAAAAAATAGAGAATGTCGTAACCTCTATTTAATAACCGCTCTTTTATTTATCTGAAGAAGCAGGGGAGGGTTTTCTTATAATTGTATTTACAATTATACCCTCTATAATTCTATATTTTATATTTAACTACCATCACATTAAATCATTAATTAGAGTCATGTTATAAGTTACATAGACCACAATAATAAGATTATTAAAATAATCTAATATTTTTTTATTTCAATATTTTAGTATAAAATACTCTCTCAAGTTTATTGATATCATAACAAACACTTTATTTAAGTATTACATTCATCATTTAGTAACCTTTTTTTTATTTTTATATTTTTTTATAAATGTTATTTTATCCCGTATTTAAGAGTACATAACTTCAAAATAGTAATCGGAGAATGAGTAAATTACATGATCTGATTGAATCAATAATTGGAGAATTCAGCCAATAACAAATGAAGCAGTCATGCTTCTTTCCTCCTTATGATAACAATAATCTATTAGAAATTTGGTTTGTATGGTTATTTAAACAAAATGGGCACACCCCGCACACTTATTCAAAATATATTATATTCAAGAGCATATATATCTAGCTATGGGTTTCAATTAATTGAAACTGAGTTGGTATTTGGGTGATTTATCAGGATTAAAGAGACCAAAATGTCGCTCAGTTTCTGCACCCGTCTTCTGATTTTCATCAAACATTGCAAACAAGAAAGTCTCAATAGGCCCACCAGGCCTCTTTGGAGTCCCATTACCACTCTTGGAGTGACTAATCAACTTAGAATAGTAAGTGGCTGCATTTTGGGCCGTGGCTCCATCTCCACCTTCTGATGGCCACCCACTTTCAGATACAACTATTTGCAAATTGGATGCTCCTACTTTCTCAAGAGCAGCGTACACTGAATCCAATATGGCATCAAAGAGGTTTTGGTACCCAGCATCATTGTTTCCTTGTTGATTGAAAAGAGCATAATCAAGATTAATGCTTTGTTGATTACCAGCATAAGCAAAGTATGGGTACACATTGGTAAGAAGTGGGGCCCCATTATTCACTAAGAAATCAATAATGGGCTTTATATATGGGCTTGCATCGTCCGTGAAAATGCCATTATTGGGTGGATAAGAGTTAGTGATCAAAGTGGTGTCTATTGCTGTTGACACCTTGATTTGGGATTGTAAATTGGCTGAGGAAATTGCATTGTGAATGTTGGTCATGGCTGGTAGAATGTATTGGGCCTCATTGTCTCCAGGGTGAATTTCGTTTCCAACGGTGATGTACTTGAATTTAACGTCTTGTGAGTAAGGTGTTACGTACTTGTTGACCCAGTTTGTGGCTGCGTTAGAATCTGTGAGAGATTGAAGGGTTTCCTTAGCCACGTCAAGTATCAACTCAATGTTTGTACCTTTAAGGGCTTGGAATGCTTCTTCATCTGGGTAATATATGCGCATTCTCCCTATGCCGTTTGATTTATATAAATCCACAACCTCTTGTCTTGATGGTAGATTGCCACCATTCACTCCATAGCAAACTCCTATGGATTGTGCAGCTGCATCATATTGAACTAATAGTTAATTAAGATGAATAAAATTATTAAGGTTAAATAATATATACTGTTGTCTATTGGGGTGTGTGTGTGTGTGTACACACTCACACCATACACCCAATATTAATTTCTCAACGGACAATAATTGTGATAAAATTCGTGTTCTTGTAAATAATAATTAGGTTACAATGTTTTTTTCTCTGTAATTTTTATTTTTTCTTTTTATTTTAAAAACTTAATTCTTACAATCCATGTTTTAATTTTTTTCTTATATTTTTATTTATTTAAATTCTAGTTTATATAATTAACCTAACATTGGTTCTTAGATATGTAGTAACATACTAACATATATGTCTCTTCTGACATGGACAAAAACTTAGAAAAAGTAAAATTATAGGAATTAAACATTAAAGTTTTAAAATATAGAGACTAAAATTAAAATTGAGATGATAAACTAAAAATGGTTTTAAACTTGATAGTTGAAGAGGCGGAGGAGGCATCATAAATATTTTTTTATGGAATATATTAGAAGTGATTATGGAAAATTGAATATAATTTTTTTTTAGTTTAATTACAAATTAATAATTATCTTTTAAAAATCTCTAATAAAGTTGTGAAAAACATTATTCATTAAAATAGGCAAATTCGAGCACATAAATCTTATATATATATATATATATATATATATATATATATATAAAAGAAAATAATATATTTATAATCAAGTAACATAGTAATGTATTATAGTTTTGTCACAAATAGAATATTTATAAATTCATTATAATAAAAATCATGTAAAAAATAAACTGGTGTAATGCTTAAAACAACATCATCTAATAATTATTTTAAATAAATACATATAGAACCCATGTAAAAATATTATAAAACGATCGGCACCGCATAAACCGTTCTTTTTAAAGAGTTATATTCTCTAGATCATGTTCAAGCAGTATTCGATTATTTTCAGCACTAGGACCAGTTCACCTTCTTTTCAAAATTGATTTTTGATTAAATGAAGTAAACATTTGATACAGCATATTATTAGAGAATTAAACATTTGATATATAGAAAAAAGAAAGGATATTCAGGTCAATCCATCTTAAATCCAATGAAACATTATAAACAAATATGATTAACGTAATCTAGAGAGAGACTATGGAAATAATTTGCTATACAATAAGCACAACATATCATATATAATAATTCCCGCAACTATTTAGTAAAAGAATTCTTAGGTCATTAAAAGTAGCATTTCTTCCACTGTCCATAATATCATGTACCTACCACTGTTGCATGAATTCTGATGTTAATACAAAAAGAGTGTAAACACGTGTTTATTTTATAAAAAAAAACTTGAATAAAATGCATAGAAAACAAAAAAATATGAAAATGGATTAAAAAAAAAAGCAATTAAGTGTTCTAAAATCTCATTGTATGTACATTTAGTATAAACAATTAGTTGAAAAAAATAAGAGCAAAAGAAGGTGTATTAGTTGGAGAGGGAGAGAGCTATATTGACCCGTAAATTCTAGTCCAATGGACGATAATATTCCAACAAGCAGCAATATTGCAGACATTGCAGAACTTCTTTAAAAGAATATATCGATATCAATGAGTGGATATATATGTTATATAAAAATGTGTGAAGCAAATCTTAGCATATACACCTTCGAATATCCAATATTTATATGCATACATAGAAGGCGATATTTTGCATGGTACGTTACTAATTTGATTACTAAGACTTTTAAACCCGTCAATCACTCTTGGGAATGGGAACTTCAATGTTTGTTTTGAATTCTTCTACCCATTTTTTTCGGTGGAGACGCACACAATGCATTGATTGTCGAACAGTAACAAGAATATTAATTACGTTTTATTTTTATAGATTCTTCTAATTACTACATGAAGAATGTATTTAATATATATTTTATATTTTTAATATAATAATACAACATTTACTCACAGTTTCTATGTCTTAAAAATTCCTTTTTATATTTGTTGTTATGATAAATACTCTTCACGTCATAATAATAAAACAAGTGCTCAATTCCTCTATAAGCACATGTCATTGTTGAAGATTGTAAGTTTATGAAAACTCTATCATATATTTTGTTAATTCAAATATACGTAAAATCCTAACTTATTTATCCTAATTTGTATGAATAAAATGACTCATAATATAATATTTTTAAATTATTTTTCAAATTAAAAAGTTAAAGTAAAATTAAATAAATAATATTAAGTTACTTCAGCTTTATATAGAATATCTCTAATAGATTATATAACAAAGCTAATAAAAAGAATTAATATGAAAAAATAATATTTAAAAGATAAAATTAAATAAAAAAGTTAAAAATAATTAATAGGATATAGAAAGCTAGAATTAGTACGGTCATTTTGCGCATACTAGTCAGCTCAGGTAGCCTTGCGTGAAGGAAACGTTCTATTAACCTCTTTAATGCGACACACATCAGTGTTTGGTTTCTTCTGTGAAGTCAATGCAAGAAATCACTCACACAATTGGATTCATACCATTTTGTGTTGGTAGAGCTTCGACGGAACTCAGATGTTTGTTATTTACTCACTTGTTCTGAATATTTTCACCAAAGCACTACCTCACGCTCGTATGCATATGCATCACTTCCATTTATCATATATTTTTAATTTTTTTAAAATATTACGTATTAAATTATTATTTGTTAATATAAATTTTTAAATGATTATATTTTGTTATATAAAAACTAAAGTTTACATTTTTCTTAATTTTATATAACATTTTGTCAAGTGAAATAGTCAAGTCAATTCATTTATTAACGGTGGCCAGCTGGAGCGGCTCAATCTGTACCTAGAGACCTAGAATGAAACTTTTAAATTGTTTATGATGCAAATTATTTATTAAATTATTATATTTAATTTTACTTAACAATTTAATTACAATAATAAATTTAATTTATTTAATTTTTTAAGGCATTGTTAATTTTAAGTAAGCTTTAATTAATGTTAGTTTTGAAAATTTTTTTCAGTGAAATACAAAATTATTTAAATTATTATTATTCTATAAATAGTATATGTATTTAAAAAAAATATTTAATTGATTAAGTTAATTGACATAGTATTTCCTTTAAAAATTTTAATAGGAAAAACATTAGAATTTGAAAGAAAGAAAATAACAATTGTTAAACGTGATAGGTAATTAATATCTATGATGGTATTTTAGTTATCTTATTTTATTCTAATATTAAAAAAATTAAATAATAAAAAATATTTTTTAATTTGCATTGATAGAAAATAAATAATTAATAAGATAAATAAATCAATAATCAAGGGTGGCCTATTACTCAAAAGAAAAATATTTATTTTTATATTATTTATACATTAATGAAGAATTTTCTTTCTTTTTTAATAAAAATATATTAATAGTTAACAATATTTTCAAGGCCTTATAGCAAGAGTTGAATGATCTGACACGCATGCTGACATAGAAAAAAACAATTTTAGAAATACTTTAATTAGTATCGATATTGAGCCGTCAGCTAATTAAGAGTTAAGACCAACGAGCAGCCACGACGCTACAAGAAATTAACTTATTTGCGCCAATAGAATTTATTTGTGAAAGCTTATAAAAAATTTGCAGAAAAGTATGTGATTGGCAAATTTTATTGTGAAATTTCTTTTACATGAAGAACTTTTGTGGGTACCTATTCTTAAAAAAAGTAGAATTCATAATTTTTTTTTCTTTTTTCAATTTTTAAAGAAGTAAATTTGTAAGCAATTGCATGAGAAAAAAATGTGGAGAAAATTATTTTTGACACATAATTTTTTTAAGAGAAAGGAGGAGAGGATGTATTTTTTAATTTTTAATTAAAAATTATATATTATTTATAATGATACATATATTGTTAATATATTAAATTTAAATTAATATATTATTTTATATCTTTTATTTTAAAAATATATTAATTATAAATATATTTATTTAAAAAAATATTTTCTCTTTCCCCATTTTTTTTCCAAAACTCTTCTTCTCAAATAACTCTTTATTAAATTTGTAATTTTTAGGTATCTCTGCAGATAATTACTTAATAAAAGTGTCCAAAAACTCTTCATTAACCTGTAGGTAAATTTTACGCAAAATAAAATAAAATAATTTTTACAAGTATATCTGTAGAAAAATTTTCAGCAAAGAAATTAAAAATTTATTTTGAAGCCATCAAATTAATTTGAATTGACAAAATTTTTAAAAGTAGACAAAATAGTTAAATTAAGATTCAAAAATTTTTTATAGAAATTTTAAAATATATATTAATATTCTTAAGAAAATTTGTATAATTTTTTAATATATTCATGTTTAGTTGAAAAAGCATAAATAAATTAAAAAAAGTATGTAATCATATATCAAATGTAATCTTCAACATGTACAACTTTTTTATATTATTATTTTTATTGCAATCATATACTTTTGTAATAATCATTGTTATGTTGGAGTAATATTAGATCCAACAAATTTTAAATATTACATCAATTTTGTTTATGTTTTTAGTATTAGTTAAATTTTTTACTTTTTTAATCTTATTTAATTCCTTTCTCATTTTTAATATTTTACCTCTAATTTTTCTCTCTCTTTTTTTTGCAGTAACTTGTTTTAAATTTGAACTTTTCTCAATACATCAACATCCTTTAGATTTATTAGTTGACTTAAAAAGTTTAAGGAAAGTATTGTTTACAAATTTAACATCAAATATTCTCTTTTTTTCTTTTCTTTATAGTTAAAATATATTTTAATTTTATTACTGCAGATGATCTATTTAACTTGTATAACTTTTAAAATATTATACCGACCCTTAATATTAAAATTTCATTTACAATAACATATTATAATTTGACAAAATAAACCATATAAATTTATATGAAGTCAAATTAGTAATAAAAATTGTAGGAAATTGCTGAATAAAATTTTTAGCACTGCATATTATTAAAAAGAAAATACTCATTTTTGACACAAATAAAAAATGTTCAATATGTATTATTTTAAATTAGTTGAAATTTTATTTATAAATTTTCAGCGAGGCTAACAAAATAAATTATATGTGTAAATTTAGTTAAAAATATTATTTTTATATAAATTAAATACAAAAATAAATATTTATATTACTTCCATTAATATTTTTTAAGTATAAATAAATATATTAAATTAATAATTGTAGAAATTGTAGTTTAAAAATATAATTCTATACGCAAAAATCTTGATGAAAAGTGAAAAAAAATTGGGTCAAAATATTTAATAATAGTGAATTAAATAATAAAAAAAATAATTGACTTGAATAAATAAAGGAAAAAAGTTCTCCATTTTTTAATATCTACCTACAAAATTTTTCACAAGTTTTTGAATTAATTATTTTGCTGCGATATTCCTCCTAATTTTCGTATGAATTTTTTGAGAAGAGAATTCGCAGGAAATAGCGAGCTTTCTTGCAGATCTTTGTACAAGTTCTTTGTGAGACTTTTTTTTTTATCAAAAAACTTCGTAGGAAAAACTAAAATTTCTTCTATTTGTATTCATAAAAAAATTCACAGGAAACTTTGATCTTGCTGGGAGTTTATGTCTAATATTTAGAGTAAATATTTTTTATTTAATCAATAAATATTTAACGTATATTTTATCTAAAACTCTTATTAAATATATATAATCAAAATGTTTATTAAAAAAATTAGCCAACTCTTCTGTGTGAAAAGAATATTAATTCAAACTTATTTGTAATAATTTTATAAAATATAATTGAAATATATATTTTTTAAAATGTATTAATATTTTTGTTATGATACTTAAGTATGGTTTTTAAATTTTTTCCATAGAGTTTAGTTTTACATTTTCATATTAAATGAATATTTTTAAAACATAATTTTAATTTTTGAATAAACAAAAAAATATTTGTTTGCAAAAAAAAAAAAAACTAACATATCAGTCCTTTAATATATATAAAAACTCACATTAGATGTTAAAATTTTCAAATTCAGTTTATATTAGTCATTTTCATATTCTATTATTTCCTACTGAAATGTACTAACGTGAACACTCAAATTTATTTGCAAAATTTTTATTGTTATTTTTTATTATAAAACTTATTTTTTTTACTTTTAAAGACTTGTATAAAAAAAATATAATTTTCTCTTTTTTTTATAAATATCTTTTTAGAAAAATAGAATAATATATTTATAATTATTATTAAACTTTGACAAGAAAATTCTTAACTTAAAGGCTTGTCGTTGAGTAAATCTTTTTTCCAATGATTCGGTATTTAAAAGTTATTTTAAATCTAGAAGAATTTAAATTGAACCATACTATCTCTTCAAGATATATTTGTAATTATTATTAAATATTGAAAAAAAAAACAATCTCAACTTAAAGGATTATCGTTAAGCAAATCTTTTTTCAATGGTTCGATATTTAAAAGTTATTTTAAATCTAGAATAATTTAAATTAAACCATATTAACTCTTCAAGATAACGAAAAAGAGGTAAAGACCAGTCGTAACATAATAACTGATAGATAATTAAATTTTTTTAAATATTTATGATAAGATTTAACTCCAACAAATGTATATCGAAGAACAGATTAAGCTTATTTTAATAATTTCTATATTTCATAATAAATTAATAT